ACGACTTCATTTTAAACATTTTTGAAACGAGTTCCTTCACCTTGACATCATCAAACTTTACCAAAATTGGTCTTACCACCGTATCATTTTTCTTACCAAGTCGTACCAACTTTATTATGTTTGTTTCACCGCAGACACCACCGGTCAGATGACTGATTATCTTGCAAACCCTGTTTCTGTCGTCCGTTCCTTCACTCAGTCGAAAAACCACTATATTTGCCTCTCGTTCCTTCGATTCCATTACATTGGTTAACGTTTTTTGCACTTTTTTTACATCATCGTTTATGATTTGGACACTTTTCACAACCTCAGAACTGACCACGCTAGCAAATGATCTGGTCATTTCATTTCTAAAGTTCGAAATCTCATCACAGAGCTTTGATCCAGGGACATCCAATCCAGACATTTTGCCTTCATTTGCTTCCAATTTTACCTTGATTGCATCGATTTCTGATCTAATCTCTTTACTTAAGCTGTTTATCTTGTCACATATCTCAGCTTTTCCACTCTCAACTGTTTTGATGATCTGATCCTTTACTGATGGTGACTTCAAGCACTCATCACACACAAATTTGACGTTATCACATGCCTTCAATAGTTCTAACGATTCCTCAGTCATTCCGACAGCAAACGAAATCCCACAACAAACACACTGAACATCTGTTGATTCTTTTTCACATCGTAAAGCATCGCTATTAGAATTTTTCGTAGATCTTCCTTTACCAGCCATCATCACCAGATCGAAAGTTTAATTGAAGTTTTAGTAAACGCGTTATCCAAGCCGACAAGTTGTGTAAACGTGTGATATAAATTGACAAAATTTTAGATCAGTAAACAGTATGTATGTATGTATGTATGTATGTATGTATGTATGTATGTATGTATGTATGTATGTATGTATGTATGTATGTATGTATGTATGTATGTATGTATGTATGTATGTATGTATGTATGTATGTATGTATGCATTTATGTATGTATTGTCGGAAACTTTACAGCAACTGGTGGTGTGAGGTAATCTCCTCCTCTATCTTTCTCAGGGAATTTTTTTATGGTCCGACAATAATTTTTGTGTATATTTTTATCGTGAGTTCGACCAGTCCTGTGTGGCACTGGGCTTTTCCGAATTATATGATTTTACTGAGTAACACACGAACGCGTAAAGAAAAATATTCGATAACAATTTTATTAATCGACGGAAGTAAATGAAAAGGAATTGAACTAATGAACTCTAGAATAATGTAAAATGTCAATGAACAAACTGGAATACAGGAATTAGAACTTCTTCTTGTTGGGTCTTCGACTTGGGATATGTTTCTTGCCGTTTAACCGTACAACGTCGACGTGTGTGACCGATGGTGATGTCGATACAACTCCGAGAAATAAATAAAATGAATGCGGAAAAAAATTACAAAAATCGGAGCCTATGGAAATTGCAAGCTGCGTGTGAAATACCGATGAGTATAGAATCCAGCAAAGAACCCTAGGTCCACAAATAGCACAAGAAACAAAAGAAGGAGGCGGATTCGTTTTCACAGAATCCAGGGCCTGTTTTCACTGGGCCTGTCTGTCAGTCGGTTGGCTTTCGCACAACCCTGGCCTGTTTTCACTGGGCCTGTCTGTCAGTCGGTCGGCTTTCGCACAACCAACACAAAACAAAACAACAAGAGTCAGAACAACACTGGAAACAAATTGTGTGACTTTAGTATGCGTGAGAAACTAATGCCAATAAGTCTCTTAGAGACCAGAATAGGCACCGATTATTCAACTAGTCAACCCAGTGCGGACTTTTTCCACGTACTATCATATCTCACGATAAAGAAACTCTATATCAAAGCAAAATAAGATTTTGTTTCGGGTGTTTTTAAACATAAAAATTTTTAAGGTATGTCCAATTAATCAAAAAAAAAACTACTAATTAAATTTTAAAATAATTTGTAATAATTTATGACGTCATCTAAATTGCAAAACAAACAAAAAATTGTCTTGTCACCTACCGAGTAAATTAACTTGCATCAGGCTCCCTATCGAGTGAATAAATTTTGCGTTGAAAGACTTTGAAGTATTTTTAGTCATTATTATTTCATAATTCTGACACTATGTATGCATGTGTATGTATGTATGTGTACATTCTAAATATGTTTATATTCTTAATTTTACGTGTGTTGTGCATGTGCGTCTGTATGTATGTATGTATGTATGTACGTATGTATGTATGTATGTATGTATGTATGTATCTATGTATGTATGTATGTATGTATGTATGTATGTATGTATGTATGTATGTATGTATGTATGTATGTATGTATGTATGTATGTATGTATGTATGTATGTATGTATGTATGTATGTATGTATGTATGTATGTATGTATATGTATGTATGTATGTATGTAAGTATGTATGTATGTATGTATGTATGTATGTATGTGTGTGTGTGTGTATTGTGTATGTTAAAGAAATGGCGTCGAGACCGGTCAAAATAAACGAGCTCCTTTATTTTGTTAATAATAATTTAAGTTTAATAGAGGAAGAATCATTTATTAATAATACTAGTGAATTTTATACTAGTGACGATATCGTTCTAACAATTAAAACGTTAAAATGTGAAATAGACTCACTAAAGCTAGATAAAATGGAAAAATTTCCCTCGCGCGGGAATTCAAAACGTGAAAAACTTCTGGAATGCTTGACTTTATTCAGGTATATTAAAAATAACAATTTGTTGGATAAAATAGCATTATTTTGCAGTTCTGATATAAATAAAATACCAAACACGGAAAACTGGCTGAAAATAAATTTCTACTTCGTTAACAAACAAATAAAAGAAATGTTGTTCGCTCAACAAGCTGAAATTAATAAAATGTTTTTGTCTTATACTACCGAGTTGGATAATGTGAAAAATAAACTTAACTCTCTTGTTGCAAACAATGTTGGCAAAAAAGTAAACGTTGACTCAGTAATCTCTAACAATGTAAATAACACGTTGCCACCAACTAACCAAAATGCGCCAGGAATTTTGTGGGCGGACGTCGTGTCATCATCCACTCTGGACGAAGCGGCACAACAAACGTCCACGTTTGAACGTCTCATTGGAGGCCAAGCAACGGGGGAACCACTTCAAACAACAACAACGAAAACACGGCAAACATCAAGACAGCTAAAAAACCAACAAAAGTTATTGGCAAAAAAGTTATTGAAGATTGTAAATTGAGGGCAGACAAAAATTTAATTAAAAAATCTGTGTTCTCAATGAGCAACATTAGTAAATGCCATCGAAGAGATGTTGTTGAATTTTTGACGTCAAATGGAATCAATGTCATCACATGTTATCCTGTTTTGAAAAAAACAGAAATATCGTCGGATAAAAATTTTGACAAAGATGACCAGGAATGAACAATGTTCAGAGTCTGCATCGCTAGCTCAGATGTCGGTAAGATGAAGGGTCCTGACATTATGTTGAAAAACATTATTGTGCGCGAATGGCGCTTCAATCAGACGAAACCTGATGCTAATACTCTGGATGGAAAGTAAAATTTTAAATTACACTTTTAAATAATGAAGAACAATTGTTACAAAATTCAATAATGTTTGATGATCCAAAGTCAGTCAATGCTAAATATCAATCAAAAAGCACATCATCAATCGCTCACTCACAACAGGTATTTTTCCTAGATGCTTCAAAACATCTAAAATCATACCTTTACAGAAAGTAACCGGAAATAATGATGTTTCTAAATTTTGACCCATCTCATTAGTTCCTGCATTTTCGAAAATGATTGAAAAAATTATGCATAAACGAATAATATCGTTTCTAGAGAAAAATAATATTCTATCATGTTACCAGTTCGGGTTTCGAGAGAAACGTTCAACAGAACTGGCAATAATAGAACTCGTAAGAAAAATTGGAAAGCTTGCGGAGAAAAAACAATTCATCGTAGGAACATGTCTAGATCTGTCGAAACCTTTTGATTGTATTGATCATTCCATCCTGTTGGGTAAGCTTGAACACTATGGCATAAGAGGAACGACTTTGAAATGGTTTGAAAGTAATTTGTCTGAAAGAAAGCAGTTTGTCAGCTGGGGAAATAAAAATTCAACATTACAACATAATGGTGTTGGAGTCCCACAAGGAAGTATCTTGGGACTACTACTTTTCATCTTGTTTATCAACGATTTGCCAAATGCATCAAACTACTTTGATTATGTTTGCTTCGCAGATGACACCAACATTTTTGGTAGCGGAACTAACATCGATGGTGTTATTGACCGAACAAATGTTGAATTAAAAAACGTCGTCAAATGGTTCAACGACAATAAATTAGCACTGAATACTTCAAAAACACAAATGATCGTCTTCGGTCCAGTGCAGTGTTTAAACTATAAAGAACCGTTCAAAATCACAATTAACAATCAACAAATAGTCGAGAGCAAAATAGTAAAATTTTTGGGTGTCCTCTTAGATCGGAAACTAACGTTTAAACCCCACGTCAATCACATTTCAACCAAGTTGGCCAGATCAACAGGAATAATAAATAGGATAAAGTTTTATCTCCCAAAAAAATGTTTAAATCTTCTTTATAACGCCATCTGTTTGCCCCATGTATCATACTGCAACGTCATTTGGGCCAGTGCTTACCCATCAACTACCATGTCTGTAAAAGTTCTGATGAAAAGAGCAATGAGGATCATCACGCTTTCTCGAAAAGATGCTCACACACCTCAACTGTTCAAATTAACTAATAATTTAGATTTTGATAAATTAAATTTATATTTTACAGCCAATTTAGTCAACTTTCAAACAAACTTCCTTCTATTTTCAATAATTTTTTTATTCCGATAAATAATTCCAGACGTCAATATAATATATTAGCAAATAAATCAAAAACATTCATACTTTTTCCTCATATCATTTGTAAAGGGCCAAGAATTTGGAATGCTATTTTAAAACATGGTTTTCCATTCAATAAAATTAATGAAGCAAATTTTAAAAATAAATTGAAAATTTATTTGTTGAATAATGACATTGAATGTTAACGGTTGCTGATCGCTAAACGAGCGGATGTATTTGTACAATTCTTATTTATTTATTTTATTATCTATCGCTTTAAATTTCTAATTATTATATTGATTTTTTAATTGAGAAATTGGTTGATTTCTTTATTGATTGATCTCATTGGAAAAGTCGCATCTAATTTACTCACTTGAAAAAATCCACAGACATCAGTATATAGTTTTTATATATTTATTTACTGTGAGATCTACTATTCATGTCTTTCTATATGTTGCTTAAATATATAGATAACTATGTAATGTCTATCCCGTGTTTTTCTGGATAGATACCAAACATTGTTATACATAAACCGTGAACCATCGTACTAACAACTAACACCTGTTTTGCTAACATAGTTGAGTTCGTTAATTTACTAACAACTAACATCTAACATGCCTCTCATAGATCATTTGGGGAAAATTTTTATTATTTGCTGAATAACTTTTGTACGAACATAGAACATTTCTGTTTAGGTGGCCATACTAGATGAATTTTTTATAAATTCTATTAGGGTCATCCTGCTTTCTTTTAATTTTTAATTTTGAGAAGCAAATAAAATTTCGTTTCGTTTATATAAACGTATGTGTATGTGTGTATGTATATGTGTGTGTATGTGTGCGTATGCGTGTATAATTTGTGATCTACTCGCGGTCCTATCTATACAATCGTTGTTCCAATAGGTACAACATGCAAGGTGCGTGACTGTCTGCTAATCAAAAATGTCAACAGATATTTTGAAGTTATTTTTATTATTATTATTATTATTATTATTATTAGATTATTATTATTATTACTATTTTTATATTCATAACTAAAAGTAGCAGTAGTAGCAGTAGTATTAATAAATGCAGTAGCATTAAAAGTTGCAACAGTTTCAGTAATAGTGGTAGTAGCAGTAGTAGAGGTAGTAGTAGTAGTAGTGTGGTCAGTGCGGGCTTATTATCGCTAGATAATAGTAGCTTCTTGACACGTCGACATTTGAACTTTGACCTCGCACAGTGCTGATGATGATTGTGTAGGGCGAGAGAAGTAATTAAATACCGAAATAATGCGCTATATAAATAACCATAGAATGGTGGTAATAGTGATGATGATTATAGATATGAGGATGATGATGACTATGATGTTGAAAATGATGACGATGACGTCATGATGATGATAATGATGATGATGTTGATGACGATGATGACAATGACGACGATGATGATGATGATGATGTTGTTGTTGTTATTGATGACGATGATAATGTTGATGATGGACGAATGATAATGATATTGTTGGTGATAAAAAGATGAAAAAATGATGGAAAACTAGCAACAAATAACTTGAACAAAAATCATTTGCTCCAGAGTTCAAATTTTAAAAAATAAAATTACACAAAATCTCAAAACATATTTAGATTTAATATTGTAGCAACCTATTATCGACAACATTAAAAAACTGTTAAAAGATTTGGTTGATGACGTTGTTGACGTTGTTAATGTATTTGTGATGTGATGGTGTAACTACTAGTGCCAACAACAACAACCTTAATATTAACACACATAAAATTGCTCCTGTCGGAATGTTTTATGGAGTATTTCTTAAACTGTGTATATAAACAAAACTGGAAAAAATTTACAACCAGTGATGAATATCCAGTTGATAAAACATGAAACAACAACCTCAACAACAACAACCACAACAACAACAACAAAATCAACCACAATTACAACATCAACAGCAACAAAATATTGACAACAAAAGGCTAAAAAACACAATGATACAAACAGTACAAAAACAAAAACAAAAGTAAACACAGAAAAATGCATAAAAGAACGGAATAATACAAAAATAACCAAAAAAAATACATTGCTATGCAAAGTTTTACAAAAAAAGTAGAATGAAACATCGAAACATAAAATTATACATATGAAACAAATACAAATAAATAAAAACAAAGACAAAAAACACAAAAAATATACAGAAAAACCAAAAACATACAATACGACATTTTACAATATCGCCACAAGCAACATAAACTACGCTAACAACAGCAGTAGTGGGAAATATGACTAGCATTAAATGGGAAACAAGGACCTAAACAATGATGACGGAAAAAAATCATTAAAAAAAACAAAAGGATCGGTGTTGTAAAAAAACATACTCACAAACAATCATTTATACAAACAAAAAAACAAACAAGCAAAAAAACAAGCACATACACACACACACACACAAACAATCAACCATGGCAACACAGCCAACCGCATTTAATAACAATTTAACGCCTTTTACCAGCAGATATAAACAACAATATTGTTATGAATAATCATAAAAGCAGCAAAACCGACATTAACAAAGCAACAACGTCAACAACAACTAACAACACTAACACCAACAACATACACAAAATCAGGCTATAAAAATAGAACACAAACATAAACAAAACAACAGAATCTAATCAGATAAGGGTTACAGAAAACACAAACGAACAAACAAACAAACAAACCAACGAACGAATGAACAAAGAAAGGAACAAACGAACAAACGAACAGACGAACAGACAAGCAATTATCAATAGCAACAAAATCAAACAACAACAGCAACAACGCTAACAACAAAAACAGCCAGAACAGCAGCCACATCAACCGCAACCACATCAGCCACAACTAATCTAACCACATCCTTTCAGTTGTTTGTTTGGCCCTGGCCTTACTGCAGAACAGGATAGGATGCGATGTGTTATGTTTATGTTTATGTTAATGCCATTTTTGTTGTTGTTGTTACTACTACACATAATACAATATAAAATAGGTGTGAATGTATACAACATACATGCATACATACATACATGCATACATACATACATACATACATACATACATACATACATACATACATACATACATACATATTATTTATCAAATAACAGTGCCCCGTCTGCTTTAACCCCTATAGAAGCACTCCAGACGGGAAGTTATGTCGGCACGGAGGTAAAGTGAAAGGACAGGAATGCTCGGGGTCCCGGAAAAAAGTTGATCCATTGGGCGCGAGGGCTGCTTCGCCTCTCGGTGCCGCACCCGACCCCAAGTCTGGGTTGCCCACACGGTCGTCGGCCGCATCGGTCTCCGGTGATCCTCTCGACCTGGATTACTCTGGTTTTTTTGACAAGCTGACGGCCGTACTGAAATGTGTACCGGTGTACGACCATATCCCTAAGCCATGCAGGGAGAAGTTCGCACATGATCTGAACGCCTTGCTGACGGCTGTTTGTAATGACCCTGGTGACCCGGCTCACTGGGTTAGACTCCACTGTTGTGTCCCATACGTCTTACAGAAGACTTCCAGAGGGGGTCGCCGGGTCAACCAGGGCAATCTGGTCAACAAGCGTCTAAGCGAATATTCAACTATTGGTCTTGAAACCCTGGTACTGTGCTTTGATGGGTTCAATAATGCCAAATCACAAAAGCACAACCCCGATCGGTGGATCAACGCTGTGTCATCTTGTATTGAACAGGGGAAACCTGTCCTCGGCTGTCAAACTTGTCTGTTCGCCGGAGGGCCTGGCTGAGAGCTCGCCGGCCACCTTCGATAAATTATGTTTGAAATTCCGGTGGACAGACGGGTCTTTTCCGCATTGACACCAACGGCTGGTTGCGTTTTTCCCGCCGAGGTGCTGAGGGCCGTTAAATCTTTCAAAAACGGTTCTTCTGGAGGCCTGGAGGGCCTACGACCCCAGCACCTTAAGGATGTTTTTTCAAGCCCCTTGCCAATTGACGACACACTGAACTCCTTAACCCAATTCATTAATCTGATCCTATCTGGAGCTTGCCCACTCTCCGTCCGCCGGTTCTTTTTAGGAGGCCGGCTAATAGCTTTAAATAAGAAAGACGGAGGGGTCAGACCGATTGCGGTCGGAAACGTTTGGAGGAGGTTGGCCGGCAAATGTGCCTTGGCCCTGGTCGTGGTCGAACTCAAGACCAAATTCTACCCAACTCAGTTGGGTGTCGGGATTAAGGCCGCTGTTCATGCGGTTCGAAGATTGGTCACCGACCTCCCCGATCAATGAGGGTTTCTGAAACTGGACTTTAAAAATGCCTTCAATGCCTTCAGAAGAGACTCGATGTTGTAGGCTGTCAAACTTTTTTGTCCCAATATCTATAATTTTTGCCATTCTGCCTATGGTGGAGTCTCTTCCCTTGGCTACCACTCTTGGGTTGTAGAATCGTCCGAGGGGGTACAGCAGGGTGATCCCCTTGGTCCTTTGCTGTTCGCACTAACTCTTTATCCACTCTTAGAGAAAGCTTCGTCCACTTTCGTTTGCGCTTATCTGGATGATATCAGCATTGCTTCGGACGGCCCAACTCTGGCCGATAGCTACGAATATTTGAAGCATAACTCCGCTGCAATTGGTTTAAAGTTAAACATTAAAAAATGCGAACTTTACTGCCAAAGTTTATTTCAGATGCCACATGCGCTGGCTGGAATACCCAGAGTTGGTGCATCAGAACTGAGTTTTTTAGGCACACCCTTGGTCGAGGGCGATTATCAAATAAAGTTTTTGACCAAAAGCTCTCTGAGCTTAAATTCGCCCTGGGTCGTGTTTCCTGTCTTTCGGCCCATGATGCCTTGACTATTATCCGCAATGCCCTCAGTTTGCCCAAATTGATGTACTTCCTGCGTACATCCAAACACATTGACCCTTCTAAATTGGGCGAATTTGACGGCAATATGTAAAATGATCAGCGTCAGATCAGGCGACAGCAGGGAACTGTTTTTCGCAACTAACCACATTTTGTGCTTGTTGCAGCGCTTCCTGCGTGTCTGTGTGCTTGAAAATATCCAACTGAATGCCGACATGTGCAATTAACGACAAATCAAAGTGTTAATCCATTTGTTACTTGATGTTTGACGGTTCAGTGTCACTCATCATGTTTTGGTTTTAACATACATACATACATACATACATACATACATACATACATACATACATACATACATACATACATACATACATACATACATACATACATACATACATACATACATACATACATACATACATACATACATACATACATACATACATACATACATACATACATACATACTTACATACATACATACATACATACATACATACATACATACATACATACATACATACATACATACATACATACATACATTTTTTTGTATTTTTTGAGAACGTCTCCAGGCCCGGAGGTCTCAATTCTAAAAAATTTCGATAAAATCCTAAGTGATGGTTTCGAAAATATTTTCAATATCTCCCTAGATGATAAGGGTTGGCTGCAGGCAATTTTGCCTCTGTCCGCAGACGGTCTAGGATCCGTGGCTGAACTGGCACCTTCTGGCTTGCGGTATCCATACAAGATATGCTTCTGCCAACCAATAAAGTATATGTTGATAACATCAGA